ATTGCAAGAATTACAAGGTGTTACATTTAAAATTCAACCCAAACTACTATTTATGAACCCCTTCACACACAAAATGATAAAAGCAGTGACAATATTGAATTCTTAGAGCTGTACACTGTTGTGGCCGATGTGCTGCTTGAAATTGGTATGGCCACAATCACTTCCTGTGTCCTGAAATGTTGTTACCAGTTGGTATATCATCTTGTGAGGTTACACACAACTAAATACTTCACAAACAGCAGCAAATGATTTAAGAATGAACCCACACTCTGCTTGTGAATACACCATGTTTGTACCTGCATGGCATGAGCAGAAGCGTGGCAATGAATGTGACCTTGATTCAAGTGGGTTTATTATATGGGGGTGGATTTCACTCTGGTTTCAATTTTTGTATCATATTACATGATTGTGGTTGGGTTGCAGTTTAAATGGAAAAACCTGTATAGATGATGCCATTTCTGGAGGATTCAGGAGAGGGATAAATAGGTAATTTTAAATAACTTATAATATAATTGTATCAGAATAGCAGTATGATATTCTCAATATAACCTCATGATAACTTAAAATAGCATTCATAATTAAATGGATCTCTGACTCAATTCATTGTGTGAAAGCTGTTATGACATCCTCTAGAGTTAGTTTCTGATGATGTTTCTGTGAAATACAGTTTCTCTCTTATTTTGTTCTCTTTGAGTAAAACTCCTGGCCCATAATATTTTCATACAGCATTACAATATTGTAACTGCATGGCTAATTGATCTTTGTATGCTGAGATATTACATATTCTTTCTATAAAGTAAAGTAAAGTTTGTCCCACTACGTGCCATACAGGCGCTTGGGGTGAGCGGAGGTATAGCTCCTCTCTTTCTTGACCTCAGCACTAGATTGGGGTGAGTGGTCAGCATCACGCCTGGCCGGCTTTACCCCCAGGAAAGGACCCCGGTACCCATTGTAGAGGAGGCTGAGTGGGCCCCAGAGCCGGTCTGGACGCAGAGGCTAGAGGAAAAATTCTCTGTCCCCGTCAGGGATCGAACCCTGTTCGTCCAGCCCGTAGCTAGTCACTATACTGACTGAGCTATCCCGGCTGAGATATTACACATTCTTTCTATCCTTTCATTTAAATGAAACCACATTTATGCAAGTTCCTCTTCTTTTAACCGATACTTTGTGTGTTGTACTGCAATTTACATTGGTTAGCTATAATGCTAAGAAGTATACAAATTAGTGTTATGTCTTTTACAAAGCATGTACTATACAGTAACATCAGTTGTATTTAGGCTACAACAGGTAGCTGTTGTTTGCAAATTTAACATAATGTAAATTAGGTGATATTGACTCTTTCTTCACTTGCTTCATTAAAATGGTCAACATATATTTTGCTGCTTGTGGATTTTTGTGATAAATTCTATTCTAAAAATCTTTTAATCTGGTCAGATAGGTTTTATGTAATACTATAACACATTTGGTAAGGTCATATTGTAAAAGTGTATTTATGAAAACATTTGTTTTTCATTACAAGAGAAGAAAGGAAAAGTATCAGTCAAATTATCTTTCACTCAGAACTGTTACATCACTATGGCAATCAAGTCTTCAGTACCCATTGCATGACATTTCCTCAGACCTCTCTACTTTATTGTGACACTTCATCCCTTCGTCATGAAAAGGTGGTCCTAATGTACAAAAGTGTGATTAATATTAATTTTAAATATTTCTTTATTTCAGTGTCAACAATGAACTTGTAAATATAAAAATAATAATCAATACAGTTGCAAGTGTAATTCAGGATATGTTGAATACATCAAAAATGGAGATTCAAAATTCTGAGCCACTGCATGTGTTGAATGACCATTGTGTACGTAAGGTCCTGAACCTCGCAAGCTGCATACATAAAATATTTTGTTTATTCCCTTATTGCTGTAAAATGTCCCTATTGTCAGCAAAAGAAAAAATGGTCTCTGTGTACCTAGATGAATTATAAAGGTAGAGAAAAAACCATTATAGCAGAATAATCCAAGTTTCTAGATTATTTAAAAAGCACTGATTGGCAAGTTACATTTATCTATAAGTTGGCAAAATGCACTATTGCATCATGAATGAAACATCAAGTATGAGAAGTATGAAGCCATCAGCTGCACTGAACAAATTGGTGAGAATGCTGAATATGTATGAAATCTTCCAAGAAACAAATTGAAAGAAATTATTGTTAATCCTAGAATTTTATGAATTATGTTTTGTTTGGAAACATGAAATGGGAAGTGAATCTGTGGTGGTGTTTGCAGACAATAACAGAACGTTCAACAATTACACTATTGCTAGAATGTTACCATCAGGTGAATGTCTTCTGCCAAGCAGTCTTGAAAATAAAATATTAAGTAGTTGCAGATATATATTTGAAACCATTTTGTTATTTAACCATTATTGTATGAGTAGAGAAACTGTACTGTGGGGATTACCAACCAGAATTCAACTCTGGGATATATGATTTAGTAGAATGTTAGAATGATGCAAGGACAGCTGGATTGTATATTGCATGCCGTGGCACATGGCCAACGAGAGAAAAAGCATCATTATTTGGATAGTTGAGAAAATGTATATATATTTGTTTACTCATGAGGTATTTGAATATGTATATTAGATATTATATGTTTATCATGAAGGTATAATAAAAAAAGGAATAATAAATGCAGATACATTTACTCCTAAGATTGGTTATCAAGGTTATGTTCACATTGGTTATAGATTTTTTGGGAAAACACATCCTTTCTTCCCAAATACAAGGCCCATATGTCACTCTTAGTTTTATTCCTCCTGTTGTCAATACTATTATGTTACACGTACAATACTATAAATTGATGGCTTTAAATTTTCTAAGAAGTACATTGAAAATGTTGTATGAAGGTAATTTAGTTTGTGACACTTCTCTTTGTTTTGTCTATGTCACTGCAGAAACATTTACATCTGTTGATAACTTAGGTTAACTTCATTTCTATTTCTGTACATAACATGTTCCTAAAGTAGTAGTGATACCTTGCCATACGGAGGAAACTTGATGCCCACGTTCGTGGATAGCATGAGGATTATCCCGTGCCCAGAGGTGACTGTTGTGGACTTCGAGAACGATCGTCTGGAAACAGATGTGCGCTCCATAAGTACTGGTACGAATGTAACTTATAGCCATGAAGTACGTCTAGGACACTCACCTGGTACAGTTTTTAGTGTGTGTATTTCATGATGATTCGGTCACAACTGAACCCTGCTATGCACTGTGCCTTGAGTATACCTAACAACGCGCTTTATGTATCGTCGTGAGAAGTGGGTAACCCCATTTGACGGTGGCTTATCTATCTCGAACACTAAGCGTCTTAGGAAGCACATTGTGTAACATTTTTCGACTATTTTTAATAAGGAATCACACTATGGAGAGCTTGTGCGCGAATTTCTTTCATTCTGTATATATTACAACACTAGTTATTTTAACTTATTTCAGAAATTTTCGATTTTTTTAATGAAACAAAGCAAAATGGGGCCGCATTGGCATTGCAGCTAGTTCGAAGATCGAAACGACAAGAAGAAGTGTTTCAAGAGTTTTGTGAATGTTCCCTGTCGGTCTCACAACTTAGGAACTACCAACAAAGCATTGATATACACGTATCAAAATAAATGTCAAATTCAGCAAACATCAATAAAAAAAAACTTCACAGACGTTTCTTTGGTGCCTGCTAGTATTATACAGGCTGGACATTCCCTTAAAACCTGACACATATTCTACAATCACAACTACCTGCATTAAAATACAGCAGCTTATTTTAAACAACCACATTCCTGAGAAAGACATAGCATAACTAATAGCTTACTATTATAAAAGGCAGGATGTGTCAATGGCAAAACATTTTACTTATATTCGTACGACAATTGAAATAAAACAGAATGTCCATCACAACAGAGACTCTTTTGAGCATGTCGTTGTTTTTCAGTTTAAACAGGGAACAACCTCTTTCTTAAACTCACCTTATATAGACATCCTTACTCGCACCGAATGTCTTTATCTCACGATCTTCAGCAACAGAAGACACAGGATCCACATTCACTATTTAACTTAATCACATCTCTTCCTAGATTCAGCGTGGTGGATCAAAATATTCACGGATTGTAAGGCGAAATTAAGTGCATTTTTCATTCGATTATGTCGTATGAAATTATTTTATGGGGAAACTAAACAGGCAGCAAAAAACATTGTCAAAGAATAGCCAATTTTTTTTATGGAACACAAAAACAAAATTTAGCTTCAAGAGAAACTTTAATTCACTCTATATCGTCACTTGTCACTGAAATAAATATAAACTAGCACTTGAAACACCCGAACATCGGCTCACACGACCACTGCATTTCAAATATCGGTCGACGAAACCGGAAATTCGCTTTATATCGATAATATAAAAACTACGTCACCCAAAGATACAACGGAACACAACTCCCTCTATCAGTCGTACTTCCGTAAATTGATTATCGTCTGAATACATCTCTCGTCTTTGAACACAAATAACTTTTGCAACGTTAAATCACGAATTTACCATCCGTGCAATTCACTAATTATGTTGACAAGTTAAAACCTCCACACCTTGTTCTCCTAGCATTCTTACATTGTATACAGTTCGACGGACGAAATTCTCGTCTTTTCCGATGTAGTGCAATTAAAGAATAATTTAATCATTAAGTTACTTAATTAACCCTTTAAAGCTTAGTGGTACATATCTGTTACATGTCTCCATACTGAATACTTTGATTATCCTTCCAGATTCCATTCACGTACTGTAAATAATTAAAGGAACATTGTTTTGTACTAAAAATAGAGTGTGATTTGTCAAATGAAATGGTCACAACAAATTTTTTGGTCACGTTTGGAGATACATCCCTTTTGCACCAAGTTCGCCAATTACTAGCCCACAATCGGTGAATAACAACGGTGGTGATGGGCGAACTGCAGAGAGCAATTGCGTTGTCGTATTAAAAGCTAATGTAACACAACGTGACCTTAAATACACATTTGATGACGCGTAGAGACGTAAGCCTATAAAACGCTCTGGACTTGGCCCGTAACGTCGTAGTCGATCTATCGCGCGACGTGAGAAGTTGACTGCACGAGAAATAATAAAGAGGTAAGTGAAACGTAAGGAATTGTGTCTTCGCATAGCTGTTTGCATCTGCCAAGTTGATATGGGAAACTTCGGGCAATGGAAACCTGGAAGCTAGAAAGTTGGTTTCAGATGTCATTACAACCCTCCTTCAGCAAATATAACTTTTGGTGCGGAAAACACAAATAGTCTATTTCCGAGTATAACAATCAAATATCGCAAACACTTTAAACCGCTGTCGGCTGAACTGGATACAAATTGAAAAATGCCGTTTGCGAGGGACCGCTGTATCGTGCATCTTGCATAGGAACGTTGTGTCATGATGGAATTGTGTAAACTTACAGTTGTGAAGTGAGATCTCCTTGACTGTAGACACTGCAAATTAGCATTGAGCAAGGCCGTGGGGTTGTCTGATGCACGCCAATTACAGGACGCCAGGGCAACAATTAAGTAGTTCAGTGTTCCAGAACTAGGACAGCAAGCTTCTTCGTTTCTTATATGGTTTTGGTTTCTAACCAGGGTTCGAGAAATGTTTAGATCAACCGAACTCTGCACTACATCGGAAAATTTTACACACGTCATGAGAAAAACTAATATTTGTGACAGTAATTCATATAGTATAAGCAGGTACTATTCCACATCTCACCTTCACATATAAAATATTTCTGTATTATTTAATGTTAGCATGGGCTATATAGCCGCGAATGCGTCCGATTGTGAAGGAATTACTTAGCAAAACCAGGAAAACTCTGCCAGGACATTTGCTCCAGTCCTCAGCAGATTTGTAATACCACTGTACAATCTGCTCAGTCCCGTGACGGTGTGCGCTTATTAATATATCTTGTTTACAACTTTCTCCGTGTGAGACCGCACCTGTCTTGAAAACCTTGGAAGGCCCCGAACAGACTTACGAGGTTTCACAATCACAGACCTGAAGGTCTGGCGTCAGGTGCACGCTGCTTTAGAATCCAAACGCGCAGGTATGCACAAGGACAACATCTGTACTCCAGCATCAATATGACTGTCTTCTGGGTTGCTGGGCCGTGCAGTATAGTAGAAATCTATCGACATTTCAGAGTTGATTGCTGCCTCAATAATCAGGGTGTCAGTAAAACTTCAAACAGACGACACGGTTCAACAACCTAGGAAACAACCATCTTCAACTGTACACCAATTCGGAGCACACAGTTTCAAAATGCGTTCTTCGCAATTTTACATATGTGACGTTAATTTTTTACAGAAATTAAGCTAATGTCAAAACTATATCAGTACAGGATGTACACTATAAGCATACGTAATTTTTAAATATGCTTCGTCAGTCAACATAATATGAATTTACACTAAGTACCAGTTACTTGTACAATGAGTATTTTTTAAATTTATGACTAATACTGTTAAATATTATTTTCATGTGGAGTAGGAGTCGTAAATGTATAGCTCCATGCATTAAGCTCAGCACTAGATGGAGTGCCAAGCCCTGGTACCCACTGGACAGGAGATTGTGTATACCCCATGGCCGTTCTGGGTGTTGTGGCAAAGTGAAAGGCACTGCTCTGCCGGGAATCGAATCTCAGTCATCCAGTCCATAGCCCAGCCACAACAGGGTGATTCAAAAGGTTAGGGCCAAACTGAAAGAGGGTATAGAGGGACTCAGAGAGAACAACTTTCGAATAGGAATCCATGTCCTCCGAAGTTATCCTTAGTCAATCGAGGCCATTGAAGGTAGGGAAGTCTGATAACATACCGCTGAAATAATCGTACCTTGCTATTCTCCTACTAGCTTAATTTTGAATCACACGTATCCCGTGACGTGGTCCGTGAGACTCCTGGGGTATTTGAAAGGGTGCGCCAGAGTTTCGTTCGCCGATGCAATGCCTGCATTGAATATGGAGGACGCGACTTTGAAAACCTGTTGTAAATTTGGTTTGTAATGTAATCCTTGTACATTAAAGAAAACGAAATTAAGCTAGTAGGAGAATAGCAAGGTACGATTATTTCAGCGGTATGTTATCAGACTTCCCTACCTTCAATGGCCTCGATTGACTAAGGTTAACTTCGGAGGACATGGATTCCTATTCGAAAGTTGTTCTCTCTGAGTCCCTCTATACCCTCTTTCAGTTTGGCCCTAACCTTTTGAATCATCCTGTATATTGAGCTATTCAAGCTCCACAGTAGGAGTTGTAACAGTTTACGCAAACCTTGCATGCAACATATAATAACACTTTATCAAGTAATTTGAGACACACATCATATGGGAGAATATGACCACCTTGTTATGCATTACTTTATGCAGTGACAATAAAAATGTATTTATAACAGCGTTCCTTTTCCTACAATCATGTTCTATTGACACAGATGTTAAAATATGTTACATCTGTGGGAGGGGAAGCAGATCTCCTGCCTCCTGACAAAGATACAGCAGTAATGCACCTGACTTGCATTTCGGAGGTATAATCCCGACAGGATTCATATTAATTTCATATACTCCTGGTGAATGTTATGACAACACCACGAAAGAGATAGCACCTGTTTCCTAATTTGTTGCAAATCCTTTTAAGGGGAAAGAGAGTCTGCACCATATCAGGGGAAACCATGCATCTCAGCAATGTTTTAACATTGCTTCTCCTCACACTGTACGGGTCTCAGAGCAAAGTTCAACGGGTCGCGTCAGTCGAGTGTAATGATGAGGACTCGATTGAAGACAGCATCCATAACTATATCCTGCCAGATTTATGGGGGATCCAGAATGTCAGCCTGTCTGACTACAGAGGCAAGGTGAGAGATCAAGTGACGGACTTCTGTCTACCTGAGGATATACCATATTGTTTATAAGTGTATTACAAAACCTCTCCCACATGACAAAGAGTCATTGTTGTTAAAATCATACCACAAACTAAGCAACAAGGTTGTAGTAAGTAGTGAAAGAGTCAAAAGATGCTCTCCATCTGAGTATACATTCTTCCGGGTATGTTATTTGCTACTTTCATTTACTTCGGACAATAGAAAACTGCACAGTCAAGATCAGAATTTTTTTCTTTGAAGTTCAATGTATAAGAAATTTTTCAAATGAAACATGACAAGTATATTTTGTCGTACGTAAATTTTTTGCATGACAAGCCAGTTCAGTTTGGACTTCATGTAAAGTAGGGGTTATACTGGACTGATAAAAATCAAAATTAAATTTGCCTTACAACTTTCAGCATATATTCCCTCTTTGGTCAAAATCCATGAATTAGTTCATGAGATATAACATGGATCTACACCTCACTTTATGCACTTAATAAGTCTTTAACATCCTTGCAGAGTACATGTCTTTAAATGTAAGTAAATGAACATTTGCAGGTGGTACTGATCGTCAATGTAGCTACCTACTGAACCTTCACGCACCACTACCTGAGTATGAATGCACTTCAATCAAACCACCAGGACTTTGTGGTGCTCGGCTTTCCTTGTAACCAGTTTGGGAAAGTAAGTTAGTCTGATAGTACTGGTGTTCACAACCATGATGTGCACACATTTGGCTTCTCATTCTGATTGAGTGTGTCTGAGAAAATCCACACCTAGCAGAATTGAATAGGGAAATGGGAAGCCTTAAAATTTGTGATTAAATACATAAAACTGGAAAGGTGTACTCTGTGGAGTACACTTATATTCAAAAGGTGTTCTTCACACATTACAGGCAATGACATCATCATGGAAACCATTGGAGTAATAAACGTAAGATAAAAGGCAAGGTCACTGTTGTAATAAATGTGAAGAAATATGTGACTAACAAACACACGTGGGTCATGTTGATCCCAATGCACACGGTTTTATATCAGTATCATGAGCACTGACATCCTTTCTATGCAATCAAGGTAGAAGCTGCTGCGTACTGAGTTTCACAAAGTTTCACCGACTCACTTCACCGTTCTTACTCTAGAGACTACAAGTTTAGGCTTCTCATGATGTATCACTTGGTTAATGGGCATATACCACACACTTCCTGTTTTATGCAATTTTGATACACGTGGCAATTCACAGGAACACAACTCCCACATATAATGCAACAGTGTGAACTGCAATGACAGACACAAACTAGTCCATAAGGTGTTCTTTGCTTATGCTGGGGAGGATTATGAATAAAAACAGGTAAAAAACCTGAAGCGAAGAGACCACCTGGGAAACCTGTATAAAAATGAGAAGGTTGAGATCAATATAAATTTCTGAGAATCAGGCCACTAAGATAGAAACTAAATTAAAATGGCTCTGAATAGGATCCAGTGGGGAGTTTTTTTATGATGGTAATGAACCTTCAGGTTTTGCAATAAGGAATTTGAAAGCTGAAAGAAGACCCAGTTACAATACAGAGTTAATTAAAAGAGGATCACTCCTCTTGAAATTACACAATTCATGACAACACAAAATGATACAGGCATAGAACATGATGGCATAATGTTCTGTTCCTCTTTTGTGATCATGTTACAAACTGTACACAAAATGTACTGTTTGTTCACCAAATACAGCCAAAACACTCTTAATTTCAGCTTATGTCACATTTCAGCAAGAACCAGGAGCCAATGGAACTGAAATCTTCAGTGGAATTCAATATGTTCGACCAGGGAACGGATTTGTTCCCAACTTCATGTTGTTCAAGAAGATAGAAGTCAATGGTGACACAGAGGAGCCTCTGTACACTTTCCTAAAGGTACACGCATTTCCTTCTCTCTTTTATCAACCTAGCAGCTTGCTCATTAAGAACACGGAGAAATTTAATTTTACTGTATGATAAAGGAAATTGTTACACAGCTAAGAGTGAGGATTGGCTAGTATTCTTGAATTAATAAAGTAATTTTCACGAAGGGAGCTGTTTGAAAAATAAAAGTGCTGGGGTCATCTGGCATGCAGGTCCAGGTTGGATGAAATGGACATGAATCTTAACGTGAAGCAATTCTCAATGCTACTTAATGAATGGAACTAGCTTGGGATCATACAACAGGTTTAATGTTAGCAACATTAAGCCTTTAGATTCTGTTACCACAGTTAGTTTAGATTATATGGAGAGCTTTCCGTTATTGTTTAAACTATGGTAACAGAACCTAAAATTTTAATGTTGCTAATACAAAATCCTGCCAAAAGTAATAATCCTGAACCAGTTCATCTCCAATTTGGATCCTCAAAACCATCTATCCTGTCTCCACAGATTAAAAATTTGAATAATACCTGTAATTGCATCAAAATCTCTTTCCACAATCTCCTTTATCTTTCCCTTACCCTTCTCCCAATATATTCATAATTCCATACTCTCTTTCTTTCGCTCATCTATCTACATGATCTTTCTACCTCTTCCTATATGTAGTAATTTCTTAAACTGCATTCTTGACCTCAAGTTTCTCATGTATTTCAATATTCCTGTTTCTGTAATACATGTCCTCTCATCTCCTTAGTCATTCAAGAGATTCCCCACCAGACATTCTCCATGTATTTCTTGTTTTCTTCATAAAAATTTCACCTTCTATTTCAGGCTCCTTTATTTGACTAACAATATTGGCGTGCTGAAATGTCTCATTATGTGATACTGTACACATCCCAGATTTATTTTCCTTAGAACTATGCAGCTATTTCATATGAATTTCCAGCACATGATGTTTGGCTTTCAGAAACATTGTCCCTCTACAAGGGACGGATTTGCAAGCAAAGAGAACCTCTTCTACTCTCCATTCAAAGTGAATGACGTCCGTTGGAACTTCGAGAAGTTTCTTGTGTCTCGGAATGGCAAACCAGTGAAACGTTATGATGCCAGTACGCATCCAAATGACATAGAAGCTGATATAGTGAAGATGCTGATTCAAAGCACTGAACACATCACACAAGAACAACAATAAGATTGGCACATTTTTTTGAATATACACTGCACAAATTTTATACAGACTGGTGTGAAACTGGATTACAATCTGAAAGACTCTATTTAACACATATAAATATGATTTTATCATGTAAGACTTGATACAGCATATGTATACTTTGCAGAGACAGCTTTTAAATATCACATAATTAGTCTGCCTCTTCTATATGTCCACAAGTCAGGCTCTCTATAAGGGCAAAGGACTTTATATCTTTACTTACATATATCTCATACTTCAGCACAACTGAGATGAAAGAGACCTTAGTATTTGGGTGCAGACTAATGCAAACCTTCTTGTTTATGATGGTTCAACTATAAACCAAAATTGTTGGTGGGTTGAACCTGATAAGGCTCATGCCCCAGGAATTCAGTGCATTCATCTTGTGGCATGCAGACTATGAAGGGGCTTGTATTATCTGTAATTAAGTACTGGAGACATATGGCAGAAAGGCATGAGATCTGTTCAGACAACATTATTATCGCTAATGTTAATGCAAATAAAAGCTATCATCAACGAATTATATTTTTCCCAATGTAATCCACCATGTCCTATCCACTTCTGCTTCACTAACTACAGCTAATCAAGATATTACAGGATGATTTAACTTTGGTAGTGTTAGAACTTGTGACTGCACTGGGAGTTGAGGACAGGTTTGTATAATGGTGGACTATATACAGTCAGTGTAAATGTAACAGCATGGTCTATTAAGTGGTGGTAGTGACAGCGGTGGTGGTGGTGGAAGAGAGAGAGTGATCTCTCTACACTAAAGCTACCTTTATTTACACTATTCACTGTTAAAACCATTATGGTACAGGTATCTATCCATATTAAAAGAAATGCTTCAAACTTTCTGTCCTGAAAATACATGGAAGTATAGACACAGTAAGATAAAAGAAGAGACGGTAATTTACCTAAGAAACATGAGAACGTAAGCAACACAGAATGGGAAATTAACATGTATTTTGGGATATGCAAACTCCACAAATTTTGGAACTCATATTCACTGTTTTTGTCAACTAAGACTCACAAATTACAATACTGCTAAAAAAATAGAATCAGACTTGTTTCATATTAGTCACTAGGCGCATCTAGCAAGTTTAATCACAAATCCATCTTAGTTTCACACGCTCAACTCTGTGAACTGTGAAATATGTTTCAGTAATGAAGCCAAAATGAATTAGCAGTGCAAGATTTGAGTTTGGCATTACTTCTACTTGTACAGTTCAGCAGCTTTAAATGAGCTTCCTTTTATTTACATCTGGAGCAATCTCAGATTCAGTATTACCTCCTTTTTTACCTTCCTCTGCATACTGTACAAAAACCACCGTTCTATTTGTTTCTTTATGCTCCTTTTAATTTTTGTTTGTAGTTTCATCAGTATTCTTTATACCAAAAGAAGAGAAAAGTCAAGAACAGGTGCTTTCCGTTAAACCAAACTTGAACTAAAATCAAAAGCACATTGATTTCAAGAACAGTCCAAAATTTGAAGTGTTTGCACACCCACAGTTTTAAGTAAAGGTCCACTGTGGTTGTAGTAAGAGTTTTATTGAAGTTTATAGACAGGAATGCTATCATTATATCTCACCTTCCTTGCACCATATCAATAAGTGTTCATAATACTTGTTTATAGTGATAAAAATTGATGCAAAAATGATAAAACTGTTATGTAATAAAAGTGGAATATGTTGTGCAGTATTTGTGTTAATAGCAAGCACGCTGGATACAACCCTCTATGCCCAACAAACTATTGTTTAAGGTTATGTAGTAAAACCTGTGTATTCTATTTTGATTTACATGCCACTTCTTCATCACTAATTATAAATTTAAATGCAATATTTTATCATTTCAAAAAATACCTTTAGTCTACAAAATATTTAATTTAAAACAAGTTACAGTTTCTCCATTTTTAAATTAAGTTATATGACTTATCTGAAGCTATATATTTATAATATATATAACATTTGTATCTCTGTATTACATATAAATAAGCATTCTCCATGCATTACAGTCATTAGTTTCATTTTTTTCTTCTTAGGTGTTACTATTCACCTGGACAGTACAGAAGTCAAACAACAACAAAAATAGAAATGGCAAACATTTCAGGCACTACAAGTAAGGCTACTTATGGAAATTAGCGAAAACTCAGACTCAGTTCTAGAATATTTATAAACAGGAATGGCCCCTCTAGCTAAGGAATTAAAATTATCATGGCAGTCAACTGTTCCTTAAACCCAGGCATTATTTCACTGAGTGCATGGTGTAATTTTCAGATTATTTTTATTTGTGGATGGCCCCCTTAGTGTTTCAAATAACAAAAATATAGTCTTGTGATAGTAAATGCTACTAGTGTACTGTTCTGCTTCTCTGCAATGATGTCAGCAGCAACTTCCTCTCTCAATTCTTCATTTCAGCTCCCTTCAAAAATGAACTACACTAAAAAAGCTATCTAACACTTTATACATTTACATAAAAATAATTTCAAATTATATTCAGTGAAATGGAAACATAACCAAGTCCCAAGCTCTGAACCACAGACACAAAAGCCCAAAAAATTAAGACATCTGATCTGGATATCTCAGGTATACCCAGAGAACGCCTTGCAGATAGACAGTACAAGCATCCATAGAATCTGTCACAAAGAGGCATCAGGTATCTGGGAGAGAACACAATGAAATACTGACCCAATTTATGCTTAATCTAAGGATGCTGGCGTTCATCTGTCATGAAGCTGTCAACAATCTCCTGCATTGACTGTCGCAAACCATTAGTGTCATCAGTACCAGGTGTTGACATGGTAACAGTTCGTGTTGTGGTAACAACTCTGTTGGAAAAAGAACAATGTGTATCAGTCTCACATGTTCAAGAAGTAATATAACCTGAAAATGTATCTACCTAGCTCACTCACTCTCAACAGGACATGATCCTGAGACAATTCCATCCACCGATTGTCCACAATCGGTCTGCCTAAAACCAGTTTTAATGCTAAGCAGACAGCTGTCTTCTGGGTTGCTGCACCATGTAGTCTGGTAGAAATTCACTGATGTTTCAGAGGTGCTTGCTGCCGCCATCACCACCACCCTGATGATGGACGCAGCAGGCACTGTGCCAACATTGTATGCGAACAGGGCATTACATGTCTGTCTAGCACTGCTGTGCTGATAACTCTGTTTACCCTCATCAAACTTCATTAAGGTCTCGGATTTTGCCATGACTGTGACTGGTACCATCTGGTACATTTCTAATGTTCTGTTTGCATACAACATTTCAATAAAAATAGTACATATCATCAATGAGCTGGAGGCAATTTCACATACAGCCATGAAATGTGTGTACGGCCATTAGTTATGCTCACCAGGAGGTTTGTCTATCAAATACCAGCTTGTAAGAAGGGCCACAACTTAAGAACCAAGGATTTGCAGACAAGTTTTATATGTATATAATTGTTTTGGATGTAGAACTCACCACTACAATTTGTATGTCTAATATCAAATTACAATGTATATGACTTAGGTCATCCAATTCCAGTCTTTTCTTATTCTGTTGTGCTTTCCCAGCCAATATACACATGAACTGACACTTATTACCCCAACACAACACATTTTTAACTTATCAAATCAATCTCTGAAATCTCAGGTGCTGATTTCAACGAGAAGGAACTTATAATTATACAACATTTAAAAAATGCATATAACATTTTGGGTAGAAAACCTCAAGGAAAATAAATAGATTGAAGTGAATTCAATTAGCTCAGAATATCTCTGAAGAATGAATGCCGACTATACCTAATCTATGACAAAAATACATTTTTAGTATGAAATCTGATGCTCACCTCCGCTGAGAGTTTGGGTCATACTCTGTGGATATTGTCTCTGTAAAAATAGGATCCTCATTGCCCTGGAAGTATTCAGCTCCTGAAAGCAGATTTAAAGATCGTGAATACAGCTACAGTCATAACAATATTTCCAGAGTTAGAAAGAACCACATGCTCCCAACTTACCTAATTCCAAAAGGTAGTAAGAATGTTTATGTTAATAATATATGTACACTTTCATGTCTGCAAATTATATATGCTCTGTTTCTGTTTCCAAGCAAGAAATGTGAATGTTAACAAACTACACAGTCATCAGAAGGAGCAAAATCAATTTCACTAAGGAGATATTTAAATAAATTTTAATGCAGAACTCATGCTATGTCTCAAACAATGATACACAGAATGCTCCATAATTATGTAGCAATATTCACATTGTGAATTCATCAATCAGAAGCAAGTAAAACATGTCTGTATGAATTTGGATCCCAAAACCTCTTGCTTCTAAGATAAACACAATTTTTTTTGTAAAAGTAATACAAAATTGGTGCATGGAGAAATGTGTGAACAAAATCTTTAACAGACTTTATTTCAGGGTAAGAGAGCTATTACATCACAACAGCTTCAAATTTATATTAACAAACAAATAAACTCGAGTATTTTCAGTTGGTAATTAGTCATTAATAAATATATAATGCAGACAGATATATCTGTGCATCAAAAAAGTATTTAAGCTGTATTTCAGGAATAACATGCTTAAGAAGTAATGTTTTAAACCTTCTTTTGACTGAATGCATTCATCTGTCAATATAGCTACACAATTACATAACACAGTACATACTTACTAATCCTGTTTAATGTTCTTTTATTAATATGAAATGTGGTTTTCACTTTTTCATAATAAAACTTTAAAATTAAAGCTGGATGCTCTGAGGAAAGATAAGACTGATGAATCAGCATGCTTTCATCCATTCACAGGTTTATTCAAAATAAATCAGAACAAAGATGTAATCTTTACATAACAATATGCAACATGCATAACACTGAAATCAAGCACTTACAAGGTGGAGTCGATTGTTTAGTACAACTAAGTGACTATTCAAGGCTAGACATTCATGCTACCATTACTTGTATTATTTAGATGACAATTTCTGTCATGAGGCTTAAATAAAACAGAGTTGCTAATGTCTGCAAAGGACACTAATTTACACTAAAAGCTTCATACTGAAAAATGTGTGATGCCTGAAATTTGAGATATATAAATTTTTCACTTTCTGCTTAACTCAGTTACCACCGCCCCAGCAGTCTTAAAGTAGTGACAGGCAGAACATGTGAGTAGAACTGAACTTCTGGCAATATACACTATTCTTTCTGTCTGTAATGCTGTAGACCAGGCTAGGATGAATATAAAGCTGTTGCCACCACAACTTTTCAGAATTTTTAGGATTAGAAGTAAAAAATTCTGTAACGTAAAACTTAAAAAAAAGCAGTCAGTTTTTAAAGAAACTGCCTGAATTAGACACTGTAACCTGATAAAATGGACTCTTGGTATTTGTGATAAAAAGGCGCATAACAACGTAAATCAATAACATAAACATACCAAAATTGTAACATTTATTCTGTACAATACTTCTAAATAACGGATATAGATGATCGGGGAGGTGGAGGAGACGAGAAAAATGTACTGAAATATGATGATAGGAACTTCAAGTTCATAACACAGTTCAAAAGCTGCATACAGGAATAGATGAAAAGATCAAAATGGGTACAGAAAGGAAGCCTAGAGTATCATGAAATTACCAACCTGCAGGGCAAGGAGATAACAGGAGGAGGATTTTGAGAACACAGCATCAAGCTGCCAAATCTATAGTAATACAATTAATTGTGTAGGATGTGATTTCCCTTAGATAGATGAAAAATATCTGAATGGAAATAATAGTTTGGCCAAATACAGTACTAGGCACCATAAACCAAATTTTCAAACCATAATTAATACCAACACAAATAAGAAATGAAATTATGAAGATGTTAAAAAACAGTTATATGATGACAGATAGGTTAAAAACTTTCCAACCATACAAGAAAAATAACCTGATCACAAGTTTTAATATTTTTTATATTGAATTAATTACTATATACTACAAGAAGAAACTGAAGAAAACATTGAAAAAAGTAATAAAATATCAATGCAAAATATGATAATATTCTGGATAATCTCAAAACACATTTAAAGACTGAGAAGGATAAGCATGCAATGATGATGATGGTGATGATGTTGGTAACAACAGAGAGTACAATATCAATGATTAAGATAAACTGAGTAGAGAAAGGGTGAAACTGTACCAATGAGTAAGTGTGGAAAAATGTTAAGGACAGAATAAGGAAACAAGAAGTCTCATCAATAAGAGGTGAACACAGGCTTAAGGAAAGAAATAGTAGATGATGAAGTCAGCACAGGAAAGACAGCACCAGCTACTCCGCAGCTACTAAGTGAGAAATTTCATGGTACTGGTATGCTCTGCTTGCATTCTTTCCATTTCTTTCTTAACTACTTATTCAACTTCATATTCTTTTTACCTTGACAAGCCTTCCTTTGTTATATGAATGTAACAGATTAACTGTATTACTACATTAAATCTTATAGCAGTACATGATTCATTCTGATTTAAGATTTCTGATGTCTTCCTCAGTTCCTCAAGGCACTCTAAACCAAGCAGTAATCACCACTGTCCTAATCTTACCATATACAAACTACAATCACCTCATATCATGATATTCTCCATTATAGAACAAATAAAAATTATTAGGGGTGACCTCTGTTACCCTGACATTTTTCTGCATCTTTCTCAATTCTTACAGAATCTTAGAAACAAGCCATCAAAAGCACTCTTTTCACAATTCCTACTGAAACTTGGGATGATTCAAGAAGGTTTGGAACACATGACTATCCTTAAAAATAACTGCTATAATATGCTCTTCAATGCTTTTATAACTACAACCACAATTTTATCAAGTTTGCACTATGTATTTTGGTTTCTGTGAACTATCATGAGGTATATTTACATGTGACTAATACAGTGTTATCCATGACCAATTCATGACGACATCAAAATGAACAAGTTCAGCACCATTTCAATGTATTCACAAATTAATGATGTACAACATTACACTAATAGAAATAAACGCACGAGATGATGGTTCACAAGAAAGAAAACAAACGACAAACATACATAATATTGTGTTCATAGATTGTATAAAAGCAATACAGTTCACTGTGAAATACTAAAGCACATCAAAGACAAAGAATGCCCCCTGTTAAGATTGGGCTCACTTCTGTGCATCCTAAATGTGATATAAAACATACCAAGAGTCCATTATCTCATCAAGATAAAATCTCCCAGCCTGTATTCTTTTCAGAGGAATTCAGATTATCATTACAGAAGCATCATAGTGTGACAGGGCTGTTCAGCCCATCACTACCAGAACTGAACATCACACAGAGATCTGCTTACTGTTGATCAGGGCCGTTACCATGGTCGGCGGTTGCTGCTACCACAAATTGCAGCAGGGAAAACAAGCAGTGGTGAGAAGTGGAAATGGGGGAGCCATGCAGCATCACTAGTAACAGAGCCAGCAACAGGAAGCAAGCTGCTGGCGCAAGCCAGCCACTACGCCATGACCTATGCTCTGCTGCACACCACAATAACATTATCACAATGTTTGTCGGGCAGCTACCAACAATCTCCTTTCTCAATACTTGTATAAGTCTCACCTACCATCCAAAACAATGCAAGTTAAAATATACAAGACAATTTTAACAATTCCAATTTCTCATTCTGGGGGAAGAACAGAAAATTATGGTATTTCCAAAAAACTGATGAGGAGGATATATGAAACACTGAAAAATTGTGAAACAGGACAATTAAGAAAATTAAGCAATGAGGAAAAGTACAGGTAACAGGATGCATAATATCAACATTACTTAAAGAGGAGTTTAAAAAATTATATGCCTTGCCTAACATTTTTATGGCATCTGCTCCAGAAAGATATGTACAATGCACATTAGAAACAAGAAATGCAAATAAAATGTGGCTGCAATTCTGCAAACAATGACACCACCTGGAAGATGTAGGTGCAGATGGAGAAATGATATTAAAACTGATCTTAAACAAATACATTCTGATGATGTGTGATTGGACTGAAATGGCTCAGGATTCAGTACAATGAAAACTTTGTGACCCTGGTGATAAACTTGTGACTTCAATATTGATCATCCATGCCCTGCAGTTGGTCCTCTAAAAGGACCAGTATTTCCTGTTTTTTCTTTTCCTTTTCCACATGTGCCAGCATTCTTTGAGCCCAACAAAAGGCTCTTTTCATGCTGGCTTGGATAGAGCTACAGCTCTCGTCCCCACCACAAATGACTCCAACTGGTAAATTCCTGACACCTGGCCACAGTATAAACCATGTATGTCCTGACCATCCTTACTTCAGCCTTGATGATAGAGTCAGTATAATCCTCTAAAACATCAGCAACAAGCCAACTTATACTGTGAGTACCTAAAAGCAGGTTCATCATCAACGTATTACTGCTCTTCCCAAGTGCATGGCCCAAATGTACAGGTGTTCCTAATCAGTAATCAACCTCCCTTCATAAAATAAGTACTAACGAAAGTAACACTGAGTAGAACTAAGTGACAAAACTATGTCATCTGGGAACAGTAGTGATTGTACTCACTGCAGTATTGTAAAGGCAAATACAGGAACCTTGAACTATAGTGACAGGTGCAGAATATAAGTACAGCGCCTGGGTGAAAGGTTAAGTAATTCTTGAGTGTGAACACCAGGGACATGAAGGTAAAGTTCTATGGTCAGTTCCACAATCAAACTGATTTACTGCTGGTGATCAAAACCCTCAGTACCCATTGGGCAGGAGAGCCCAGAGCAGTTCTGAATATGGCAGCAGAGGAAACGGAAAATCCCAGCTGTCCTACCATGAATAAAATACTTTCTACCCAGTCTGTAGTCAGACACTTTACTGACCTAGCTATCACAGCTAACTCTCAACAAACTGTTCCCATAGTTATGGAATGCATAATTATAAATTTTAAGATGTTCTGAGACTGCAAAAGCCAAGTTACCAAAGAAATGTTCAGGTCACTGCAGGTGACTCAATCACAACATGCTACTGAAGCTATCAAGACTGAAAATGCTGTTTGATGATGTCACCACACAGTCCTGAGTGATTGAAAACATTTGTTGGTTTGGTAGTCACCCTATTACATACACATCAGTTTCTCAAAATGACTGCTATCTTGGCATGGTGCAACTGGCAGGCGCAGTGCGAACTGCCCTGTTTGGAGTACTGTGCTCCCTCCATATAACTACTATGTACAGAGTTATAAAGCAAGCAAAAACAAATCTATTTATATGTTTGTACAACTCAACCCATTTGTAACACTCATTCAACAACTCTTCTGGCATCATATATCCCTCTAATTCTTCTGCAAAGTTTTAATTCAAATAAGACCCAGGAAGAAATTCCTTGGTGAACATGCAGGGATTATAACCACTTGGATTACTACAAGATACTACACAAGACAACTGGAATTGCAGTTCCTCAATTTTTTTTGGGTATTCATTATATTTTAAATCATCTGCTGTCTCTAAAAAATTATAGTATATTTCAGAAGCTGATTCTGTTTCACTATTCAGGCAGACCTGTAAGATTTTAAGCTTCAGATACCAAATATTCAGTTTTAGTAGGATTTGAGGTTGTCACAGCAGTGAGTATAGAGATGGTTGCCTTTATGGTTGTAGCATTGTGTAGTCTGGAAGATGTTCTGAAGTCCTTGTTGCCTCCATCATCACGCTTTGTCCTGCTTATGGAGACAGACTACATAACACTACAACCCAGAAGACAGTCATGTTCATATCCAGATTTAGTTAGGATGTCAGTTGATTACAATTTTGATATATTTCCTGTAGAGTTGTTTTCACTGAAGGGTGTACACCTTTCAATTATGAGCATTACACATGAGTTGCACCATAAATATGCAATACTAAATTACAATACAAACATGCATAAGAGTGAAAGACAAGAAGAAATAATACTACAGTTCAATTAATTATAGCCTTTTACAGAATCTAGAACTAAAACTGTATATATACAATTTTAAATCTACTTTTTAAACAATGTCACAGCTGAAAGAAGAAAGGACATATATTCTGATCAAAGACTGGAAAGCTAAATGATTTCACAACCTTAAGTATATCACATGAGTAAGGACAGCAGGTGATAATGGAAACCCCAGTATACAATCCCAGTAACAAAGGAACGTTCAGTATTAGTACTACACACAGAATCCCAAACAATCTCTTTATAGAAACACATTCGTAAGTTCATCCTCCACATGTGATACAACAGATCCTTCCTTACACTGACTTCATGTTACGTTGAAAATAAGAGCTATGCTTGTGCAAATATTCAATTCCATCACTACGATTTAAGCTGTATTTGAAAAACCTCAGACATGAAGATTTATATTTTAGCTCACAATGCCCAAACATTTCTTAAACTGTACACAGGAATCTAAAACAACTGTACATAGAGGACTGAAAAAGAACCTGAACACTGATATTGGAAAAGTGTAAACATCACGAATGTATACATTTTTGACAACACCCCACAAACATCTTGGTGTTTACAAAAGAAAACACCAATGACTTGATCTGATGCGACTCCTGAGAAAAGTTTGTGCATGTCTATCAACTGTATCAATTTCCATCAGACTCAAACAAATCATTTCGGAGTTTAAACTGGCAGTACAGAATCACCTTTGTCTGTTGGCAACAATGACAGACTGATTTCAGATGTCACTAATCACTTGCTTTCCAACTTTCAACACAAAATCCACTGAATTACATTCAAGTGTCATTCAGGCAGGAATAAAGCTCAATATTTTTTATAATTCCTAAAAACTGAGCTCAGGACCACTGCTGTATCAGCTGCTTCTCCCTGCATAATTCATAATTTATAGCAATATGTATAACTTTATCATAACAAAACTAAAATTCCTTCCAATACATTAACACAGATTTGCAATACTACATATACTCGTATACACCCATTCTTGTAAATAACCAGTAATTATCTCCAGATATTTCTGTAATCTCATTAACAGAAAACATGAAATACTAATTATTCCCAAAAGTAAAATACTAATTAGCCCAAAAATGCATACATACATAAACATAAAATACTAATATTTGGACAACATAAAACACTACTTTAATTACTGCCACATAATAAGCTACAAAAAACAAACTACTTTTGGTCTGCACTAAAACAGATAAGAAGAAGAGATTTAATGCACGTGTATGTAATGCAATAATCTTTTAGCTTTCCAGAGTTTATCTCTTGATACTAGTATGAGTGAGTAGTACTTTAACCAATAGAACAACAGCAATCAGTGCAAACCTGGATTTGTATATACCTGAGTGTTGCTCATCTTCAGACAGCTCAGCCCCCTCATGGAGAGCTACATCTGAACCACTTGAACTGCCTAGGGTTTTCCTCTTGTTAAGTGAAACTCTGCTTTCAGGTGACATAGGAGTCCCATGACTATCACAATCTGAGTCACTGTGGATTGAACCTTGGTACTGTCTGGTCTCTTCTCCTTCATACACGTCCCCATTCTCTTTGAAGGAGTCATCTCGGTTGTAATCGACAATATCCTTTGTCACTGTCTCAGCATCTTTTATAAGCAGGGGAGGAGCATCAGCTAAGTACTTCCTCTCCCCCTCAAGAAAATCACTGGTGATGTCTCTGCCTCTTACAATTATTTCTGAAGCAAATTCTGAGGAACTATCAAATGGTACTTCATTCTTGTAACTTTTTTCTATCCTGGTAAGGACTTCTGGCAGGACATCCACAGAAATCTTGTCTCTCACTTGAACCACATCTGGGTCTCCAACAACTGATGTGTCTCTGCTATATGGTTCAACAGTCTTTGCATTCACAATGCCTTGATTCTCATCGTCCAATGAAAAGTCCCATTTTGTATTGTCAAACTGAAAGTTTGAAGTCCTTTGGGATGGCCTCAGCACCTTCTGGATGGATTTAATGTGATGCGGCGAAGTGGCAGCAATCCCCTTCTCATGCAGAGCTGCCACATCATCATGCGAACTAACAACTACACTACTACCAGGTGCAGTGTCATTGTGTGCATGCTCTGGACCAGCCTCCGACATACCTTCAAGGGGGAAACAACGCAACAGGCCACAACATAATAAAGCACTAGAAACAACAGAGTGAAGGAGGCGGCTTAATAAATGTGCATACAGACACTGCAGCATTCTGTAATCTGACCAGAAATCTAGACACTATGCGGCATCACCAAATACACTGAATAAAAACAGGAAATAATAATACAATTTGTCCTTATACCATAACATGATTTTTATACTGACACTAATGTGTGGGCAGAACAATTTGCACACACGTGATTGGGTACTGTACACAAAACTCTCTCAATAAAGTATCTTAACCTGAGACCACACTGCAAAGGCAAAACATCTCTGTACCTGATCACATAAAGGTGATGAAAGCATATGGGAACAGATGGTGAGTCTTGTCTTAAAGCACTGATATTACATTGATGAGGATGCACAATGACAGCCACGAGCCAAGTTTTAAATTTGGTACCTACTCAATATGAGCCATGTTTAATCTGCTTGGCACCTTGAAAACAGCAAGTCATGAGAATCAATTCAAAATTCTTCAATGCATAATTTTCTTCTTTCCCCAAGCAGTTCATCTCTGCTAAATTGTATTCTCAGTACTTTGTTTCAGTAATTTTAAATTTCTGTTCTTATCTCAGAGCAATTAAAATTAAGTGGCTTGATAGCATCAGGATACAGTGAATTTGAATATGATACAAGGTATATATTTAGTTTTTTTGGAAACTGGATATGAAGTTAAAAGTTTGGTCAATTAACTACATTAAAACAAATCTGAAATAATAACAGAAGGAACAACTCACAAGACTGCCAGACTGCACAATTCAATTAGAGGACTGGCAAAACCCCAGGGGTAAAACATGACTGACAAACCAACCCAATCATATAGCATGCCATTAAACATGCACCTTCTATTACCCTTCCACACATGTTGCCACATTACTGCAATACAAAACTAGTTTTACTGAGCAAAGTTTCTATTAAGTATTCAAAATACAGCCTAAGTCAACAGAATAAAATCAAACAAATGTCAAATATTTGTTCCCAATAAAGAAAAAATAATTAAAATGTGCAAATATCCAAATTGCAATCCCAGAATGAAGACCACAACTTAAAATTTCATAATGAATAATACTACAATATCACTATACAGCAAGTCCTATTGTGATTGCAAATATATGTGGAAGAATTGGATGTTCCTCTTTGCAACTTTGTTGAATCTGTAATGACAAAGTTTGCTTCACACCTGTGCAGTCCCAAAAACTCACTGTATATATGTAAGATTTGAGGTTTTCACAGCGGTGAGTATGAAGATTTCTGTCTTCTGGGTTGTTGCGCTGTGTAGTCTGGTCAAATCGCTCTGATGACGGAGGCAGTATGACCTCTGAAACGTTGGTTAACATCGACCAGATTACACAGCGCAACCAAGAAGACAGAAATCTTCACTGTATATAATGTGCAATGCCATACTTGTAGTAAACACAGTATAAATAAACATCATATCAAACAGCCTAGCAGTGCTACAACTTCAACTTTCTTTATCTTCATGTATCATCTTAATTGCTTCAAATTTAACAATAAAGGTTCACTAAATCAGCCACATTCTCTTGGATGATCCAACACTTGATCCAGGCCTTTTAATGTAGGCTATATCATTTCATTACAGCAATATGGCAACAAGTGTTAATCACATGCAAAGACTGCAGCCATCCTGAAGTCCTTTGATGTGAATTCCAGATACAAGACACTGCACAAGCTCTTTAACCTTTTGCTGAGTCTCCCGTATGCACATTTACTTGGTTCCTATATCAGTGAATAGATAAAAGCCAAAATACTGTGCTAAAGTAAAAGCAAAGAAGAAAACTCACCATTTGAACTTAGAAGAATCTGCACATAACTGTACACTATCTAAACCTTTTCTTACTGTACACTTGGTATTTCTAAAACACAGGAAAGCTATCACAGTTACCTTGCACAGAAGTTGGCAGTTGCCGATTTGAAATTAAATTAATGTCGAGACCCTCGGGCTGCCAAATTTCTGACTGAGAAATGTGTGTTGCTTCATCATAATATGGCTCCGCTCCTGTAGGAACATCACAAACTGCTAAGATTTGTTACTACACAATCTAAAATCATGCACATTACCTATCATTTACATAAAACTCTCAACCAATTTCTCTTTTCCTGTTAGTAAGATTGAAGGGATAAAGAGCAACATACAGTCTGAACTTCTCACCATATTCTAGAGAAAATTATGCATAGGCATGGTTATGTTAGGATCCATTTCATTTAGCTTCTTGGTTAAGCTGAACTAATTTAGGTTTGGTTTATCTTAACTGATTTTGTTTTATCTTGATTTTGTGTGGTGTGGTATCTAATGGTATTGTGTGGTGTTATCATGGCATGTTCTGATGTCATGTGTTTAGTAGTTTATTTTCACTTACTTTAGGTCAGGTCACCTTAGCGTAGCTATTGTAGTGGTAACCAAACCATATATGCACTTCTAACATTACAAGTTCTTTTGATTCTGTTCCTCAAAATTTCCTGCCTTTGAAATATTATAGATTTCCCAGTTACCAAATATATTCACTCTGAGATACAAGATATTATAGATTTACGTACTGCACCAGATTTCCATAAACATGAAATGATAATCTTTACCTAGTTGATCACGGTACTCTGCGGGACTCGGTGGAGGCGTCTGCAACACCTTAGGTGATGGTACTTCTGAAAAAAAACAGGGTAAAACCAACCATGAGTATGAGCACACAGGTTGAAGCAGTGATGCTACAAAATGACGATGGTACACTTCTTCACCATGCCACAGGCTGATGAACACAGGGGGTGGGCAGCAAATAAACAGGAAAATAAATTAACAAACTCTGACTTATACATGACACTATGTTTTTCAACTTTTTCTTAAAAGTCAGGTGTAGTTTATGTTTACGCTGGCCTTGTAATCCTGGGGTCCCGGGTTCGATTCCCGGTGGAGCCCAAATTTATAACTTGTGTTGGGCAAGGACGTGGTCTAGGCAACACAGAGTTTTCCTCCGGGGCTTCCCCAGTTTCTTTGTGGCATCCCAACAATTACTCCATACACCCAGAAGAAGGCAATGGCAAACCACTTCTGTATCACCTGCCTAAAAAACATATATGAACAGGTCCCAGTCCGAGAAAAGGATGGAAGGATCCTGTTCATAATATGTCGCCAACCTCCTGTAAAGGAGACGGTGTAATAAAGAAGAAGAGTTTACGTTTACATAAATATAGGAGATCCCCAAAACTTAAAAATGGCATTAACACACTGATATATCTTTAGTCTCCACTGTCAGAAAAATCTTAGATACAACTTTAAAATATCAAATAGAAAGAACTGAAGGACTGCCACATTATAAAATGAAAATTGTGCATTTTGTACTGTACAAACATGAGAATGCCTGTACAAGTACAATGTTTTTAAAAATGTATTCATCTATTTTCCTCTTCCAAACACTGAACTCATTTAGCAATTACCATCAGCAACCATGATACCTTGCTTGTGTGTGAGAACAGTGGTGACAACACTTGGTGATGATGTCTCAAGCCTTTCAAGTTGCTCTGTCACATCATGGAGCATCTCCTCCTTTGCACTGGTGGCATCTGGTTGTGCCTGCTGTTGTCTCAGAGGCGTGGAAGTGCTGTGCTCCTTGTGAGTCAGAAAGTCTTCCATCACGTCTCCAAGATCCTTCTCTTCTCCTGCATACTTCTTCTCCTGCACCGCAACCCTTATTCCACTGTCTGTAAAATAAAAACATATATAAAATCATTTTAATACAAAAAATGTTATGTCTGAGAATAAATTTCACTATAGATAATATAAAACACAAATTAATATGTACATCTGCTTTTCTGTGCACCTCCATGCACCATATTTTGTAAAAAGTGCACAGCCTGACTGATAGCAGGACAGAAGTATTGATACACAATTTAACAAACTTACAACTAATTTTTAATTATTATGCATTGTGACTAACTATTTTCCCAGTAGCCACTCGCACCTGCGGCATGCTGTTGTGGCAAGTTCCACATTATGAGGAACATCATGTTGTTGGTAATGATTACAAATTGTGAAGTGACTAGTCCTTGTAGACTTAATTAAAATATTTTACCTTCTGTGCAACTTCATTCTGAAAATTAATACATGCACAGAAAGGAACTGGAAGGGTTGAAGAGTAACACAGCTACAATGGAAGAAGTTCATCATAACTCACCGTTACAGGCTCCGAATGTGCCTGCCTCTCCAAGCTCCTCAACAGACTCTGACCCCTGAGAATGAAGCAAGTAATTATACTTATAAATCTCAGCGTCATAAAAAATCTTTATTTCTGAAACATGATTAATTTTTAATTTCGTGTTTTCATAGTTACTGTTCACAGTTTGACCACTATACAATAATATCCCTGATAATTATTATTTTCATTTATATTATAATTCCCAAGTAAATGTAATAAAATTTCATCAGATCATTAGCTTCAATATCTGACAATTCAAAATACTATTTAATGTTAAGTCTATGTGAGAATGCTTCTTAATGAATGTAAAATTCAGTTAATTTGTAATTTGCATCCTTATAACACTTGAGGTTGATGATGGCGGCCACTCTCCACTTACCCCTCCTCCTTTTATTGCCTGGTCCACCCACCTTTCCAACTCCCTGATCCCGAATCTTCATTGTTGTCCTTCTTCATTCTGCTGTCTACTCTACCTACCAGTCAGCCCTGCCTTGACCAGCATTGCATTCTTGAGATGCTCTTCTCAAAACCTAACCCCATCATTGGCTCTGAATTTCACTTTGCATCTACCCTCTGGCTGGTACCAAAAAGGGCTGATTCCTTCTCTCCCTCATTCTCAACCCAGCCCCCTTCTCTGTCTCCCTGTATGGAGACTTCCTACTGGCCTGACCATCTCCTCCCATTCCTTGACTCCGATAGGCCAATTCCCACCTAGCCTGAAATCTATTTGCAAGTGTCATAAAGATAGGCCACAAGGTAAATATGACACTCATGGTAAAGCACTACACCAAGGCAGACAAACATTCACCACATATCTTAAAGTTATCTTACCTTCATGAAGTCAATGTCACTGGGGCTGAGGCTATTATAACTACGCCTCAGAGTAGCATCACGTGATGGTCCTAGCTCCTCCCGCAAGGCATCAAAACCTGACTGATCTAGCTGCACCTTAGCTACAGCTTTCTCCATGTCATCGGTCACTAGCTCTACATTGAACACACACTGGTTAACTATGTCTTCACGATCTATCTTGCGAAGACCCTTCTCCAAAGTGTTCCCTGCATCACAGAAATAAGGCATTACTCAGAAAGATCCAGCAAAACATGTTGACACATAATTTTTGTTATAAAGGTACTAGAAAGAAAGTTTTATATTTACAAACATTCTCTGTCTTGATTGGCACAGCAAGTCATAGAGTCTGGAAGATAAATGAAGGTGATTATATGTTATGATTGAGAGAATGCCTCCTCTACAAGAAACAACAACTTAGCTAAACAGCATTAACCAATTGATCTTTGTAATGGAAATCAACTGTTTTCTCTCAGAGTTATGAACTAAATTTTTAATGTATCATTTAGATGAGCATCAGTTTCAGAGTTTTAAATTTACTGACTTGTCATTAAAAGCTGAATATAAACCTTCGTTATGATACCCATATCAATGACAATTCTCATTCCTTCAATATAATCAAGTTTATTTTCTTCTTTCACTAAGACTGAAGGAAAGCTTCAGACACAAGAGTCAAGATACAACACTGGAAGACCAAGAATGAGATGAAGTAATCACATGAAGAAGACACAAAGAATAGGAAAAGTGCAGAGCAGAAGCAGCTTAGTGATTTTATAATCAAAAAACACAGAAACTCCAATAGGGAGTGATGATAAAGACAATGCCTTACCTGTAGCTTTGTTGCCAGAAGACTGCAGCCAGAGTCGCAGCATCACCATGGCCTGCTGATTTATACTGTTTGGGTATTCAGTCTTGATAAGATTCACATCTGATGTGGAAATACCAAGCTCGAAGGCAAGAGGTACCCAATCAGCTCCCAGAAGGTTGCTTATATCTGAGAGCCTTATATCTGCTCTATGGATTGAGTCAGGATGACCTAGTGCATTGAGTACATAAGGTTTATTACACAAAATTTAAGTTTACAAATTCATGACACAAGTTACATACTGAATTAAAAAAATTAACCAAACTTTACTCAAATTCAAATTTTATGCTAACTTAATAAGCCATTTGTAATTTAACTGGTCTGGTGCAAAATGGAAGTAGTTCCATTTTTATAAACTTGTGGAAGACAAAAACTGAATAATTTATGCAAATCTGCATTCAAGCTACCCCATTTGCATTTTACTCATTAATTGTCATCCTACCAACATTAATGTTTTGTTTTCAATAACCACCTAAACTGCAAACTTTGTATGTCAACACCATCTGCTGTTGTGTCCATGAGAAATATACAAGGCAGTCCATAACCATATACATTTAAATGTTTTAAAAACATTAAATGGCTGTGTATTATTTCATTCACATAAAAAAAATCACCTCAACTGCAGTTTGAATCAGGTCTCTCTCATTTTCAACACAAGTAAAAGATAAAATCTATTTCATCAGACTAAAGCACATGGAAATCAAACTCAGATTCAACCCTAGCTAAAGTAATAACATTGTTTCTTCTTTAACTTTATCATGTATCGATTTATGCTATTAACATGCTACCAGACATAATATTTTGTCCCATTCAGAACAAGTAAATGAAACATCAACACTCACTGATGCCATCTCGCAGAAAGCTGTACTTCTTCTCTAGCTCAAGCAGGTCAGGTTCAGAGGGGCCAGACTCAGGAATAATGGTCTCTGGCAGCACAATGTTAAGGGTGCAGATAGGCATTTGTGTAGGCTCTCCCTTTGCGACCTGACAAGAGCACAAAGTTTCACACAATTTAAATCAGCTTTTGCAAACCATACTATAGCCAGCTCTGAATTACACTGTGCATTACAGTAGGGCCCCGCTTTTCGGCACTCCGCTTTACGGCGATTCGCTAATACGGCGCTCAACAGCTGAGTCAGAGAAGTGCATCCGGCGCCATTTTCTCGTCGCTGATTCAGTCTGTTTACAGCTTTCTTGCGCTCCGCGTCTCTGTATTTCTGGCAATTTTTCAAAGTTATTGCAAACTGTATATTTATGTAATATTTTTGTGTTACTACAGAGTAATTACAAAGGCGTCTAAGGGTAGTAGCGATAAAAAGAGGAGTCGTAAGCCTCTTACTTTAAATGCCAAGTTAGATATAATTAAACTTCGTGAACAAGGCATGTCTATGGCCGAGATAGGACGTAAGCTAAGCCTAGCTCGCCAAACTGTTAGTGCCATCATGAACGCTAAGGAGAAAGTGTTAAATGAAATTAAAAGTGCCACACGAATGAACTCTAAAGTCATAAGAAAAAGAGATAGCCTTATTGCCGACATGGAAAAACTTTTAGTTGTGTGGATTGAAGATCAAACGAGCCACAATGTGTGTACTACTGATATTCATTTTAATTTCATATCGTTTTCTTAGGCCTAGCGCTATTGTGCACTTACTATATGATAGTGTAAACATCTAATTAGGCTTTGATATGCATTTGCAAGTGAAAGAAGGCAAAGATCCGCTTTACGGCGATTTTCGCTTTACGGCGGGGGTCTGGTCCCTAACCTGCCATATAAGCGGTGCCCTACTGTATAGGTTTCATTCAATTAATCCATTTTACATTATTACAACAAACTTTCATATAAACTGTCACAAAATTGTCCTACCTCAATTCTCACGCACTAACCTCAGAAATTTTGTTCCGATTTCCTAAATGCCCCACTATTATTAATCTGCTCAGAACACCTGATAGCCACTGATTCAAAATTGGCATCATAAGTAGGTAGAGAGACTGAAAGAACATTTATACTGCCAGTGCCTTTTGCTTGCATGTGGATTTCTGTGATTGCATCATGTGACTTATTAAGCTTTTATTTAATAAATACAATTTCCAAAATCACTTTAAAAAACATAATATCTGTTAAAATCAATAATATCAAATGCAAATAGGACTAGAGGTTCCCACATTAAGGTGTACGAAGATGGCCATCTTCTGGACTGGAGAAAGCAAGTACCTGTGAAATGTCGGTAAACTTCTACCAGACTACACAGCGCAACAACCCAGAAGACAGACATCTACAACATGAAACATGCCTAAAAGTTCAATAATAATGCTCAACAATCATTACAAATCACTGTACATTCATAAACAAAGCAACATCTGGAAACTGTGGAATACTTGAAACCTGCACTGTGGAGTCAGAGTTGGAAGCAATTTTAGAGTAAAAATGTACTAAATCCAACCTCAATATAAAATCTTAAGAAAATACTATTTTAAACACTTTAAATATAGATTATAGGTCTAAAAAGTAGCCTGATTATTCACGTGGTGGTGATGAAATCTCTTATGGTACCATTCATCATTTTTTGTAGGTTTACCATTACTAATACACATTGAGTTTTTATGAAGGAGTCAGAGGTTTTAGTACCAACTCCACAGCCCTGCTTGACACTTGCTTATCTACAGACTGCCAAACAACAAACATTCTGAAAGCCAGTAATCACTTCAACCATTATACTCTTTGGATTAGTGAAAGCCAACATAGAAACATAAAACCATGTCTAACAAAAGATGGGGAAATTACTGTATACACTGAAAACAGAGTTAAAGTCCCAAACTAGACATACTGTATGTGTTCCTAATTCTTGAAAGAAAATTAAAAAAAATTGATAGCCATGATCGGTTTACATAATACCACATTCCTCAGTCATAAAAGCATACCTTTGGTTCCCGCATGAAAAGTATTCTTCCAACAGTATCTTCATCCTGATCTTTGACCCGTACAGTGAATGGAAGGCGGTTCTCTCTGAATGCATGAAAACCAAGCTGAAGCTGGTCACCTGACTTCATGACTGGGATGAGGTTACCAGCAAACTCGATGAACTGAGGCTTTCCTTCTAGTACCTTGTAAAGCAGACAGTTCACATCATAACACAATCATAAGGCATCTAAGAATGGCAAAGCAGCAGTACAATAGACTAGTGTCCTTTTAATCAATTCTGTAAATGTCTTTCTAACAACATAAACAGTAAAAACATAAGATCCCATTCATACAGATTAATATTTTAAGAATCAAAAAATTGTGTGGTTTCAAGACACTAAAACATCCACATAATATTCATACCTCCACATCTCTGCTCTTGGCAACTTCTGAGAAGTGTTCCTGATGCTCCAATGTTTTGTCCTCTTTGTCATCTGTCATGCAAAACACCCTCAGCCTTGCCTCCATGACATCCACACGTTTTGCAAACACAACAAACCTGATGATCAATACAAATTATAACAGATGGGGTTAAACTATAAACCAATTCCAAAATATTCTTCTATAGCAAGGCAGTGTTTTGAATAATCTAGCATGTGGTACTTCTGATAGATGAAGTCTTAGGTCACTTCTAAATTTAGTAAGAAAATCCACTTTGTTTCTGCACCATAGGTACAATAGCTGTATTACACTATACATTTAGTTAATATGTTGGATATGGGAAAATTACACACTTTTAAAACCTAGTTATCTAATATGTTATGGAACACAATATGTAAAACACACTAAACCTTTCTTGGTCACAATATAATTATCTGTGCTAAAGTGTGACTCATGTGGTGTCTAGCTGCCTAAGTATCAAAATACTCTCTGTGCTCCTCCTATAACACATACCAGAAGCATAATTCATACATAATTGAACCATCTTCTGCTGTTTTAAAATATTAACACAAACTTTTTACAAGCAGAGAGCACTTATTAAGCACTGTAAAACGATTCCTATGCTTAACTCAGCTTAGATCAACAGAAAGCAACTTTTTTTTGCAAAGTGGCTTCATTAAGAAACTTAAAACCCTGTCCATGCCAGGAGGACATCCAGACATGTTGCAATAATGGAAGTTCTCTCACTCACTTGGCCATGAAGGGAGGATGTGTGGCTTCCCTGTACAGCTCAGTAGCCATTTTGGTTGCTTCAGCAATGTTGCGACAGTCCATCAGCCAGAACCGAGCAGAAACAGTTGTCGTGAATGTTACACAATCTTTTACAAATGTGAGTGGAGTTGAACCTGTGACATCCTCCCACTGTGCACGTGTGGTGCCACCTGAAGGAATAACAGTTGTACTTCATATATTACACAAGTACAATCATACAAAATCAATTTGTTTTGTTGCTGGCACCAGGGTGTTTCAGAAGCAATCTTCTTCTTCTGTCACATTTAGTTCTTTGATACTATTTTTCAAGCAGCAGAATCTCAAGAATGACATGTGCCTTAGGGAAGGAGGGAGGGAGGGAGGGTAGGTGGGTGGGTTGGTTGGTTACGTTCTTGTAATAGCAAAGACCACATGAAAAACTTTTCAAATGAACAAATAAAATTTTGAAGTTTGGTACACTGAACAAGATACGACACTATTAACATGCCCAACTTACCAGTGATACTGCAGAGCAATCTAAGTGTTGGTGCATCTCCTGAGTACTGGTTGATCATGCCCTTGTTGGCTGCTTGTGGCACAGGGATTGTCAGGGTGATGGGCTTGTGAAATTTGCGTCGTCGAGGTTCCACTGTCACTATAGGTGATACAGCCACTCGATTGCCCAACAGTTTAGCCACTAGCTCAGCAGGTATTGGATGTGCCTGTAATGAAACAGCATCATTTCAGGAACATGACATCACTTCCTACATATGTCTGATGAGACAAAGCAAAGCTACTTGAGTAATTCTTTACATGCATGTCTCATTAATTTGTTTTACTTCTGTAATGTGTGAGTTATACTTGTAAACAATATCTAAAATCTGCAAAGAAAAGAGCCAGGTAACAAATCTGGAGATTCTGGAGGCCACATACATCAAGAAATAATACAATCACCAAAGAATTCTAGCAAAATTCTCATTGTTGGATTGTCACATAAATCAGTACAATTCTTCCAGAAAAGACATATATTTATCACATAATCTAAAGACATTTACTTTTCGACAAAAAAACTTTGTAATTTTCTTTCATTCATCATTTTCTGTTTCAGTACATATTATTTATTTTTTATGCATTTTCTCAGGACTTCATGTGCCAAGAAAAAAGTTCTTTTGAATCATGTGTATTGTTACTGTTCGCATTATATTCATTACCGTAATTACAAATCACATAATAATTCATACTTCTTTGAAACTGAAATCATATCACAGAGCAAAGCTGAGTGTTCAGATACAAATGTTCCCAACATCATCTAATCAACTTGACTACAACAAGTAAATATGTGCATAACTGTACCTGGATTCCAACACGAATCTTCTTCGTGAGAGCAGCTGCTGGAAAGACAGCCTGGACCTGGGGCACAACACTTGACGACACCATCCCTCCTTCAGGTCCAATAACATGCACCTCTTGTCTTGTCCGCGATACAACAGCAAAATAGTGAGGGAAGTCTACTGTCAATATCCGTGTGATGCGGTTGGTATGAAGGTCTTCCAATTGGCTCATTTCTGCATACATATCACACCCTTATATTTAATATCATGTAGAAGAGATATTTCCTATGCAACTGACAGTCTTAACCTCTGTTCTTCCTCAGAGTGAGTCAAAGTTTCACACCCATACAAATCAATGGGTAAAAGAGTAGAAGACGGTGTTGTTCCTGTGGCATAAGTAGCACACAACAAAGGCAAGGAAACGAATATTCCTCAGATTCCTAACCTCAATATTGGGAAATGGAGGGAAGTGATTCACTTCATACTCTTACCACTTTCTCATTGTCAAAAAAACTCCAGAACCCAGTGGCTAAGGAGCAGAGTGGACCTCAGAGAAAGTCTCAACATGGGGGTAAGGATAAAAATCATTTAGAATTCATGTTCTCACAGTGGTGAAGATGTCAGATGTCTGTGTTATAACACCATGTGGCCTAGTAGGTAGACACCAACACTTCAGAGAAACATCTTGCTTACATCTTCAGCAATAAAAATGGAAGTATTATGTTCCTCCACAGTGTTGATATCTACCTCTTAGTCCACACGGCAATACAAACCAGAAGATTAATGATGACAGAAAAATCCTTAACATGCTGAGAATCAAATTAAAAATGCACCACTCCCAGCCAGTCGCTTTACTGACTGGACTGTTGTTTTTACATTCTTTAATCTTTTGATATTTAAAAAGCAGATGGGAAGAACATAGATTATGAACCTAACAGTAGCATGCAATTCCCATATTTAATTTTCTCATACCAGTGAATTAATACTGTTGAGTTGAGGTCAAGTTCAGAATATGAATGCTGGAGTTTATTGCCTAACCTATCTTCACTGCAAAGTACGACACAAAAGTGAAGACAAACTTTACCCTCTCCTTCAAAGCTTTCATTGAGAACGTCTTGAACAGCCTCCTCAGTGGCATCAAGCGTGTGTTCCCTCCACGTGTCACCATTGTCTGACCGCAGAATCACTATCTCCCGCTCCTTGCCTCGCAATGATGCAAAGTGTGGTACCTCAATAATGACAGGCCTGCCAATAAATTACAAGTGAAGGAAACATATAATTAATTTCACAAATGGAACATGTGAATGATTATTCTCTTCTCACATTATTGCACACATATAAAACTTTGATAATTGTAGAAACAATGGCAGAATTACAAATTTTACAAATAACAGCTTTTCTACAATTGTCTAGAAACAACTGTAATGAACATACCAAAAGAATGAACTCTGATGAGATCATAAAACATTATTTTCTGTTACGCTTTAACAACTTACCCAAGGAATTTTGCACCAACAGGGCCAAGCTCCAGGATCCTGCTGGCAAGTGCTTCTCCCTCCATGAGTGGTGGTGGGTTTGACAGCTTGTCTTTGCGGAGATACCTGCAGGTAACTCTCATGGGCATGGCAGCCTTGCGAGGTGGAACAATCACACGGACCCCAGAGTGCCTGCAACCCCGCATTGCTCCTCCCCTTGCATCGACAAGGAAACTCACCAGGAAACTGATGACAAGTGAAGTGCTCATGTCATACATAATAAATGTACATTCATCCACTGATTTTTCTGTGTAGTAATTACAAAAATTCTATGTCACAATCAAAGTAAAAAGGAAGACTGGTGAAGTCAGTAGAATTTGATTACAATTCATTAATATCTCAAGAGATGGCTCTACCATGCAAAATGTGATTTTTCAAAACTCCTCTATTATTCAACTTTTATAAACCAGCATGGAAATTCCAACACAATCTGTAGCACTATTCTCGGTAGTAGGGAGTCATATGGTCTAATCCTTTGTTTGTGTGCATTTATCATTACTTCTAATCATCTTACTCATCACCATAATATCATAATTTGTGGGTTTGCCATGGGCTGGCCCTCTAATACACTTACAGGGAACAATCTCTGAAAGTTGAAAAATTCTCTGGAAAGATGTCTTATCCATTGGAAATAGCATCCCACATTATGTACAAGTTTTGGAAGCTAAGCATACTCTTATTAGAGAATCACATTCCTCATGCACCACCTATGATGTGAAACCAACCTCTAGATTTAAGCTGCCAAATACCTGAACAAAGTTCAATAAATAATTTCATTCTGTCCTACATTGTAAGCACATTATTAATTAGCTAATTCAGTTGATTCACACTTCAAAAATGGCAGAGGAAGATTTGGTGTCCAAATAGGAAAATAAATTAATATCCAAGTGAAAAAAAGCAGTTTCCTTTTGTTATGAGTCTAGATTTCTAACCTCAAGACTTGTCTAAGCATCAATAATGTCTTGTCTTTCTGTGCTGCCTAAATGGGAAGCGCCTAAAATATCTATTTCTATTTGAAAATTGTAATAAACATAGAAATTCATACTATTTCTATTTGAAAATTGTAATAAACTTATAAATTCATAAAAAAAAAAGGCAACACTATTTTGAGATACAAAATATACCAACAGATAATCAGTTCAAAATACTGACAATTCTATAAAAAAAATACAGAGCATGTGCACACAGAACATAAAAGATACATTTAATACATTACTGTGAAAGTTATTACACTGTTGTAATTTTTAGACTCCTGTAAACACTGCCACTATAGTTTGAGTTGCATACAATGTTATTCTATGAACAATGCATAACACAAAGATATTTCCAGATTCAAACACTCAGTATCAAAATGACTACTCACAAGCATGAAATTCACACTCAGGCAGACCTTATTTAACACAGACACACAAATTGCAGACAGGAACACCAAATACCATTGCACATAAGCACAGTTAACAATCTGAAATAATAGATTCTCACAATGGTGAAGATGTCAATTTTGGTCTTTTGAATTGTGACACCACAGTATTGTAGGCAGTTAGAAACATGCAGGATTTGAGGTGGTCACAGCAGTGAGTCTGAATATGGCTGTCTTCTGGGATGTTGCGCCATGTAGTCTGGTAGAAGTTTACCTAACTTCTACCAGACTACATGGAGCAACAACCCAGAAGACAGCCATCTTCAGTTAGAAATGTCTCATAGAGGAATACCTCCATATTCTGGGTAGGTGGTGGTGATATGTTCCTCCAGAATGGTGGTAACTACCTTTCTTATCACATAGTGTCACAGCCTGTAAGACCACAATCAACAACATAATTAACCCTACCACAGTCATGATTCATATCCATACCTGAAACAAGGGTATTTATATGACACGGTACAAAATCTGTAGAATTCAACTTAAGTAAGCTTTAATATATAAAAAATGACTTGTTTTATGGTTCATAACCAAAGTGTCATATGAAAGACAACTTGGTATCCCATTTCTACATCATAAAGAGAGTACAGACCTACTTTGAACATAATAATGGGTATAATGGGTAAAGTGTTCCTCTCACAGCCTTGTTCAAATTACAAACATGACAGAACTTTAAAAACTGCTCTTGTAATGCTTTTGTTGCCTTACTCTGCAAAGCAGCAGCTGCTTGCCAATTAGGCCACTTGGGACAATGCCCCACTTGAAACATCAACTCAGATATTATCATAGTTAAGTATGTTTACAGAAAGTACACTAATAAATGTGTTAATACAACACAGATGACATGACAAGTCAATCACAGAACATGTTTCTAATGTTTCCAGTGTCCCAAAATGTAAAGGTGTTTTCAATTGTGGCCTTGTCATTAAGTTGTCTCATCAATGACAAATGCCCTCGTTGAGGAGTTGGCATGAGGAGAGCCTAGGTGAGGAAGGACACTCCAGTGAGAAAGAATTGAGATGGGGCACGCTTTGCAAGGATTGTACATCTCTTAAGAGGAATATGTCTAAATAAAAGGAACAAAATACCATCCATTCTGTCTGTCATTCAGGTAACTGTGCATTTAGCATATAACTATTTACATCTATTTATAACAAGTGGTTTGTACTCTTAACCTATAAGTAAGAACCATACTAATATTAATAAATACAGTGTGATAAAAATGTTGTGAAAAACACACTTTAGAATCACGTGTCCTTAAAAAGACTAAAAAAATTCTTAATAGCAATAACTGTTTCACTGATGCAGGAACCCTTGCTGTGACGATAATAAAATGTACTTCGGCAATTTTATTTCACATTATGTTGTCAAGGTTCACCCACCAGAAAAATAAGGCATGAGCTGCCCCTGCTATATAGATACTTTCCCTTGTCAGTTTTTTATTACATAAATTATGGCTGATAAAATAAAAGCACAAGGTTCTGATATCTAAAACAGAATAGAAGCATGGAAACCATTGTAAGCAAGATAAGATGTTTCTTAAGGAAATAAAAGTTGAAACATAGTACAGGTAAATTGCTCTGCATCCTAAAAATAATAAATACAAATTGCAATGATGCTTCCCACAAGGTAACAACAGTGCACAGCACAGTCATTTTTCATGTAGGATGCCACAAGCCACAGACATACTGCATACATAACACATCCTGTCTCGAAATCTTACAGACAAACCTGCCCATGTTCTATGCTACAGTATGTGTAACTGACATATAACAAGCACCATTAAATGTGACATAATTCATTACTAAGAATGTAATATTATGGGACAAGTGGTTTGTATGTGCACAGTGTGTGTCAGGTATGTTACAAATGCACATTATGTCATCGGTGTGAGTGGGTGAATGAAAG